TAGACAATACATTTTCTTCCAAATACAAGACAATGCAAGAGTAGGAAAAAAGCAAAAATGCCAAAGAAAAAAAGAACTGTTGACGTTTGTCCATAGCCGTGAACTAAGCGATGAACATTTATAATAACACTGTAACGGAACCGCTGGCACCCCAACCGGGTACCTTCCGCCGACGGATGCTCCTAGTGCTTTCCGAGGACTCCAAGCACTCTGCCTGACACCGTAAACACTGCAGACCCCACAAACCGCCGCAGCTTGGTTGGGATCTCGCCGTCTCCACCCACTCTGGACCCAGGACCAGGGTCCAGCTTCCAGCAGGTCGACCTCTCTCCGAATTCCAGAGAGCAGGAACAGGAACAAGCTCTTAGCAGAGCTTAGTGATTATACCCTGGGGAGTATAATGATTATAGCAATCCCCAGAGTGTAGTTTCTCCAATCCCCCAAACATGAGCCGAAACTTCATGAAGGTACAAGATGATCTGACTCCAATGAGCGTTTATTACTCCTTATATACAAGTTTTCAGGTCAGAGGCACACCCCCTGGACCTGGTGGTAAACTGTGACAAAAGGGACACAAACCAATGGGAACACTAATTAACACAATAACACTCTCACATACACAATGAAATCCCTCCTCTCCATCCTGGAGATAATTGGCTTAAGGCACTGCAGTAAACTCAATTATCTCCAGGTACAGAAAATATCTACATTTAACACTAACAGCAAAATACGTAAAAGTACATAAAAATACATAATTCTTATTTTATTACACAGAACCCCCACATTTAACCTATCCCCAGATAGCTCGGATCTGAGCGCCCAATCTAGGTGAACAGCGCTCAGATCCCATGAACAGAGTAGATTTTCCATGGGGTAAAGCATAGCAAGGGCTGTTGAGAAACCAAGGAGGGACAAAAGCAGTCAGTTCCAACTGGTTTGGAAGTGTGCCTGGGACAACGCCCTGCTGGGAAACAATAGACAGGAAATGGGGGAGGGGAAGAAACACACCTTCCCATGGACTTAAATGGGAAGAAACTGTCTTTAGAAGCCAATAAGCCATAAATAGTCTTTTTAAATGGCAATACACCCCAGGGCCATAGTCATGAGGAAGGAGGCTGGCAATCAGGCTCCTCCAAAAGCCGGGGACAAAGGGCAGCTTGTCACCTAACAATCCAGGGACAAAAGGCATTCCGTCACACATCTCCCCTTTGGGGGGGAGACTAACCAGGTACCTGACCTGTCGGTCAGTGCCTGAGTTAGTCGATAAACCCACCCACAGTGAACAAGTACATGAGTAGCCCACCCACAAATAACAAGTGGCAAAGTAGCCCCCCCACAATAAACAGTACTGGCCGGTAGGTTCCAGGTTGTAGGATAAAAATGCAGCATCCTCGGCCTTCCTGGTGCTGGGAACATAGTCCGGCTCAGTAGCCAGGGGAACATGGGAGTCAGTGGGGGTTAACATCTCCTCTGTTAACCCTGGGGCCAAGTTAGGAGTTAACTGGGGAGGGGAATTCGTACTTACCCCCTCCTCCTGTTGTCCCTGTGAGGGTAGTTGGGGATCTGGACAGGCTGTCCAGTATCCCTGTAGGTCGGGCACGGAGACCACGGTCCCCTCTGCGCCATCTGGGTGAATGGTGTCTCCCCTTGGTAGGGTAAGCTGCCGCTGGGGAGATAGGGTGCTGTGCTCCTCTCCCTGAAACACAGTCTGCCGCTGGAGAGGGAGACCGCCTGTCTCCACTCCCATAACATTGTCCTGCTGCTGGAGAGAGAGACCAACTGTCTCTGCTCCCGGTAGGACACACTGCTGCTGGGGGGGAAGGACGACACCTTCGGCCCCCTGGAATTCACACTGCCGCTGGGGAGGAAGGGCGACACCTTCGGCTCCCTGTAATTCACACTGCTGCTGGGGAGGAAGGACGACACCTTCGGCTCCCTGTAATTCACACTGCCGCTGGGGAGGAAGGACGACACCTTTGGCTCCCTGTAACTTGCACTGCCACTGGGGAGAGAGACCGGTTGTCTCTTCTCCCTTGTCAACACACTGCCGCTGGGGAGTCAGGCCGACTGTCTCGACTCCCAGTGATGATGGTTGCTGCAGGGACGAGGGACCGACAATCTCCTCTCCCTGGGATGCTGTATGCCACTGGGGAGAGAGACTGGTTGTCTCCTCTCCCTTGACAACCCACTGCCGCTGGGGAGTCAGAGCGACTGTCTCAACTCCCAGTGATGATGGTTGTTGCAGGGACGAGGGACCGACAATCTCCTCTCCCTGGGATGCTGTCTGCCGCTGGGGAGAGAGATCAATTGGCCACAGCCCCAATCTCCGCAATCGGAGCTCAAATTCCCATGCCGCTCGATTCTCCTCATCCAACTTGCGCATGGTTGCCAGAATCGCCTCTGTCGAAAGATTCAGGCCATATCTGGTTAACTGCCTCTTGACCTCCTCCCTGTAAGCGTCGCCCTCAAAGCGATAGGTCATGTTTGCTGTGAACAGGGGCGCTGTACGAATACTAGCGTTGCCCTCAAATTGTAATTCCAAATGTTACCGGTGCCTCTGCGCTGCTTCTCCTCGCACTAGGACGCCATCCCACCGCTGCCACCACTGTAACGGAACCGCTGGCACCCCGACCGGGTACCTTCCGCCGACGGATGCTCCTAGTGCTTTCCGAGGACTCCAAGCACTCTGCCTGACACCGTAACCACTGCAGACCCCATGAACCGCCGCAGCTTGGTTGGGATCTCGCCGTCTCCACCCACTCTGGACCCAGGACCAGGGTCCAGCTTCCAGCAGGTCGACCTCTCTCCGAATTCCAGAGAGCAGGAACAGGAACAAGCTCTTAGCAGAGCTTAGTGATTATACCCTGGGGAGTATAGTGATTATAGCAATCCCCAGAGTGTAGTTTCTCCAATCCCCCAAACATGAGCCGAAACTTCATGAAGGTACAAGATGATCTGACTCCAATGAGCGTTTATTACTCCTTATATACAAGTTTTCAGGTCAGAGGCACACCCCCTGGACCTGGTGGTAAACTGTGACAAAAGGGACACAAACCAATGGGAACACTAATTAACATGATAACACTCTCACATACACAATGAAATCCCTCCTCTCCATCCTGGAGATAATTGGCTTAAGGCACTGCAGTAAACTCAATTATCTCCAGGTACAGAAAATATCTACATTTAACACTAACAGCAAAATACGTAAAAGTACATAAAAATACATAATTCTTATTTTATTACACAGAACCCCCACATTTAACCTATCCTCAGATAGCTCGGATCTGAGCGCCCAATCTAGGTGAACAGCGCTCAGATCCCATGAACAGAGTAGATTTTCCATGGGGTAAAGCATAGCAAGGGCTGTTGAGAAACCAAGGAGGGACAAAAGCAGTCAGTTCCAACTGGTTTGGAAGTGTGCCTGGGACAACGCCCTGCTGGGGAACAATAGACAGGAAATGGGGGAGGGGAAGAAACACACCTTCCCATGGATTCAAATGGGAAGAAACTGTCTTTAGAAGCCAATAAGCCCCAAATAGTCTTTTTAAATGGCAATACACCCCAGGGCCATAGTCATGAGGAAGGAGGCTGGCAATCAGGCTCCTCCAAAAGCCAGCGCAGCCAGAGAGCCAGCGCAGCTCCCCCAGCGGCCGCCAGGACAAGTCCGCCAGCGGCCGCCAGAAGACCTCCCTAGCGGCCGACAGCAGACCCAGGTGTCTGCCCGGCCCCAGGTGCCGACGGCCCACCGGGAAATTTCCCGGTATCCCGGTGGGCCAGTCCGGCCCTGGATGTAGCTGAACACAATATGGGGTTCTGTGCAGGAATAGCACAAACCAGCTTTACGAAATACACATTACAAAAACCTTGCTATATGTGCATATGCCAAAATAGAGAAAAAACACAATTTTACTCCAATATTTAGCAGAGATTGGTGATGAAATGGCTACTAAAAAAGTCTCAAACTAACCTTAGGTAAATAGCCTGTGATGTCTTCTTTATATGAATATATACTTTTGTGTGGCAGAATTGTTTTCTGTGATGGCTACTAAACCTACAAGACAAACATATCAACTTCTAAAATTGTTGCAAATTGAAATTTTATTTTGTTGCCTGTAACTTTCAAAATAAGCTGAAATCCTATACATATGATGTACTCTATAAATCAAGACACATAAATGAATTTATTTTGAATTACTTTTTCTAAGCTGGACATATTATGCACACGCTATTACTGCCAAAACTTACATTTTTGGGCATTTTTTTAATAATTAATGAGAATGTATCTATGTATATGTGACATCAAATTAAAGCCCTGTTTGCCCTCTAAAAAAACGATATATATAATATGTGTTGGTGCAATAAATGACAGAGATGCAAATTGCGTTTGAACACAAACAGCACATAATGCAAAAATGGCTTGTGTTCTTGAGCGTAAGACAAGCTTCTGAAGCTGTGTCCTTAAGGGGTTAATCTACATACTGGATAGGATATCCTCCATTGAAGTTTATAGGAATATTGCTATTCAGTAAGTAGAGTATAAACTCTTCCTCTGCTCAGATCGTCCGACCATTGTATCTACAGCAAATATTGAAAATGTGTACAGTGAACATTTCCGAAGCACACACTGCTTGTATTTCTATTCTTTCTCATATACAGCTACAGATGTCTAGTGTTTGAATAGGAAAAATAACTGACATTTAATTCCAATAAAACTTTATTTATTTATTAAATATTATAGAAATGATACATCACAATAGAATGTGAAAAATAAAAGGTTCAACGGAAGATGCTTCGAAGAATGCAACAGTAATCCGTTCTGGTGACTAATATAATCACATGAAATTCGTCAGATCCCGTGCATCCGTAGCATACTGAAAACAGAAGTGTCAATGCACCTGTTATTTTCTGTACGTGAGGCGGACTGGGGTTCTGTGGGTAACATTCTGCAGTTTATAAACAAAATAATTTTTTTTTTATATTCTTTTTTTTAGTTGTTAGCAGGAGGTATAATATTATAGAATCAGTTAATACTCTGTTGCTGCGAGAGTCACAATGCTGATAAGAATCCACAAAGCGATAGACGCTGATAGGAAGCCAACGGTCGGAAACCAGTAGCTGAGACAAAAGTCAGACTTGGAGAAATCTGTAACCTGTAATACGTCCAATCTAGCTGAATAATTCAGGATTAGATTAGTATCGATGATCGGTGCTGGGGTTCATACTTGAATTAACTGTAAAGAGAGAAATAAAGTATAAACAAACCCTTGCGTGTAATGCTAAATCTATAACATTGAAAGTGCAACGTAAATATGATGTCATTTAAAATGTCAGGGAGAACAGGAAAATGTCAAGGTTTTGTTAAAGGTCGACACATATAATTAGAATAAAGAGAAAAAAATCTTGAAATAAAATAGACATATATACAATAATAGTAAATTAATAGCCGGATGTAAAAAGACCTTAAATACTTCTGCTCTTTTATAAAAATATAATGTGTCACCACCTACAGTCCTGACTTACATTACAGAGCCGGATGGGTGTCAGACAGGCTCTGTATTACCCAAGGATAAGACAAACATAACGCTTTAGTAATAGTATAATATGATACTATGCAGAGAGCTGGAGAACTCTGCTTTAATGGTTTACTCCAACCACCATGACCACTGCGGTGATATAAAGTGGTCATGGTGCCTGGAGTCTGTAAGTGTAGAGTTAAAAATACTATGAAATACTGCACATACATATGGGGTGTCATTAGCCAACTGAGAACAAGAGAATTGGGCTCGCTAATATCAATTCTGTGCCAAATTGGGGTCTGATGCCAGTACGTACATCATGTTGTCGCCAGACAGCCAATGGCATCATGTCCACCTTACATGCCGCCCCAGTGGTCCCCTCAGTCCGTCCACCCGGTTCTCCCTCCCCCGAGGTTGAGTAATGTCAGTTGAGGAAAATTGGGCTAAGGAAAAAGTTACCCTCGGTGAAGGAAAAAGGAGACAGCCAATGGCATCATGTCCACCTTACATGCCGCCCCAGTGGCCCCTCAGTCCGTCCACCCGGCTCTCCCTCCCCCAAGGTGGAGTAATGTCAGTTGAGGAAAATTGGGCTAAGGAAAAAGTTACCCTTGGTGAAGGAAAAAGTTTATTGATTTTTACTTTAATTAATTTTTTTGCATTTGGGGTGGATGCTGACAACCACATAAAGGGTTACTCCAAACTAAATCAGTGCTTTATAAAAACACTGGATTTTGGTTGGAGAAACCCTTTATTAAATAAATATGTCACATTTATTTGCTATTGAAAATAAAAGCCATTAAAAGATTAACCAAATAAAGTGAAAAGCAAAATAAAATATGACGTAAAATAAAATCTTACAGACTGATTATAAAAACAATATATGACTACCTACCTTTTTAATGTCAGATACTGTCAGATGAAATTCTCTGATCCGCGGTTTGCAGGGTGGATACTTAATTCATCGATCATCAACTAACTCCAACAGAGGCTCACCCGTAGCAGTACTTTGGTCAGCGTCTCACCAATTTTTGTTGCAAAAGTAATAATAAAAACCCAAACTGTTGGCAGTGGAGAGGACTACTGAGATATTCATAGTTTGTTTTTTAACTTGTTTATTTTCAATAAACAATATTAAAAGTAAAGATGGTGAGGAGAGCATAGTTTGGGCAGAAAGAAAAAAATCAGTTTTCTGGGGAAGTTTGACTGAAAAATGTTAATGAAAAAATCCCATAAATCTAGACTTGAGAAAACTGTGAGAGTTAGAAAAAAAAAGCTGTGCAATACATCTGGAATGATAACAGTTTTCCAGCTTCCCCTCCCCTTGGCTGATGACAGCCTGGACAAGCTGTAAAGAACAACTGGGCACGTCAAGATCTTGTTGCAATTGCAAAAAGTGCCCCTTCTGATTCTACACCTCAGATGTGCCCTATCTGCTCCTAGAAGGGCTTTCTGATGTCACCTGTTCACTTTCCATAGGGACATTTGATCCTGGACACCCAAGGAGAGAGGCATGGACATTGCTTTCTCATCTAGAGCTCCCATTTACTCTCAGCATCAGGAGAGCAGGGTAACAGTACCTGGATGTCTCACAAACAAGGAAGGACTCTTAGAATTAAAGCAAGCAGCATGGTTACTATCAGCAACACCTGCCTATAAAATTACTACCTTTTACCATCTAAACAAAACCTCTAGTGGAAGGGGTTGGGAGGGAGCAGAGGACGCATTGGCCTAAGTTTGTGGACTAATTGTGTATCTGTGTCAGTGAATTAGATTTTTATTTATACATTAAATTCAAGGAGCTATCTAAACATTATAACCAGAGGGTTGGTTAGCCCAGCGCTCCGAGCAATTGATTGCCATTCAGCTTGTATAGTTACATAGTAGTCTAGGTTGAAAAAAGACTAAAGTCCAATAAATTCAACCTTGAAACCCATTCTTTTATGCTGTTGATCCAAAGGAAGGCAAAATATCAATTTGTAGCCATTTTCAATTATACAAAATAAAGGGGGAAAAAAGTATTCTTTACTCAGTAATGTCAATCAGATTTATTCTTGGATCAATAACCTGTTCACATACATATAGAATGGATATCGATTACTACAAGTGTAAATTCCGCATAGTAAATGTGTCTGAAGAGACTAGTCTATGGAGTGAGGGAGTGCCTATCATACAGCTCATGGGGGGGTGGCAGCTATAGACTCTCTCCACAATAACTACAATATTGAGCTGGCATGGCCATGATGCTTAGCATGCCCCTTTAAAAAGCACTCACACGCCCCAGCTTTGGAGGGGACAAATTTGACACTCAGATACCCAATAACAATACGGGATATCTAATTTTGCCAAAATCTACAACACTGGGTCTCACTTTTAAAGCACAAAAAAGATAAACAACAACAACAAACAATGTTTTGGTTGTTGGTGCTACTCTTGTGACCATGTGATCCTCGATGACTGCTCTGGGATTCTTACCTTTGGGATATCTCTGGGATTGTACGATTTGTTGATTCCTATGTGAGGAAGTTCCTTCGGTCAGCCCCTGCTAATGGCCAGACAATAACTGTCATCTTGGGGAAGGCACTTGCCATGACCCTCCCTAGCCAACAATTCGCTTAATAGCTTCTCGGGTGTAGGGGGGGGGCATTTGTCCTGGTGCCCCCCTTGTATCCACTGGTGACAGCTTGCAGGACTGGCTGCAGGTTCGCACAGCGCGACAGCCAACCCCATCTGAACCACCCGTGCACTCGCTATCCAGCAGGCAACAGGGGGAGCAAGCAAAAACCCGCTTGAGCTTGGAAGATGCCAGCCGTGAGGCTGTGCTGGAGTCTGCTATATGGTTACATAGATGGTAAGAGGAGGTGAGAATGGCTGCTCATGCTGCTAATTGTAGGACAGGGAGAAGCTAACCTAATATTAGTGTTGGGAAAGTGGTAAATCCCAATGGCAGTGGGATTGTTGTGATGCCTAATGGAGAATAGAGAGTGGTGATGTCTAATGGTGATGGGAGATAGCAGGGTGATGCCTTATGGTGATGAGAGAGGGAAGGGGTGATGCCTCATGATGATGTAAACACCACCATGAGGAATCACCCTCCTCCCTCTTCCAACACCACTTGTCATCACCCTCTCCCATCACCTCTAGGCACCACCCCACCTCCTTCTCACTTCATCACTAGGCATCACCGCCACCACCATTAGCAATCAGCCCTCTCCCACCACCATTGCCCATCTCGCCTCCCACTACCCTCACTATTAGGAATTATATTCCCTCCCAGTCCCATCACCATTAGGAATCACCCCTCTTCTATCACCATAGCGCATCTCACCTCCCACTACCCTCACTATTAGGAATTATATTCCCTCCCACTCCCATCACCATTAGAAATCACCCCTCTTCTACCACCATAGCACACTCCCTATTCCATCACCGCCTCCTTCTCTCAGCACCATTAAGCATCAAGTCCTCCCTCTCCCATCACTATTAGGCAGCCTTCCCTCTCGCACCGCTAACATTAGGCTCCATGAAGCCCTTTCTTACTCCCATCACTAATGTATAGTAGAGGAGCCGAATAGTGAGTGGAGAGAAACGGGTGATGGCTGATTAAAGAGAAACCATAGGCGGAAAATGTCTCTTATTTTACTGCATTATATAAAACAGGGGTCTCAAAGTACTTGCCCATGGACCATGTGTTGTCCCCAAGCAACTTCTTGCGGCCTGTGGTTTAGGAGATAAACTGCCAGCAACTAAATTTCCAGACAGTCTGGTTAGACACTGGACACCTGGCAACTGACAGTCTTTTAATTGAGCTGCTGGCTGCATACCCAATGACCAGCATTGCAGAGTGGTGCCCTGAGATCTGTGTGAATGTGAATGTCTGTGAGTTTTTGTGCGTGTATGTCATTGGGAATCTGTGAATGTGTCCGGGAGTATGGATCTGCATCTGTGTGTATCCATGAATGTTTGTATGTATGAGTTTATCTGTGAGTGTGCGTCTATATGTGTATGGCACCGATTATCTGTGTATCTGTGTGTGCGTCCGTGTGTCAGTTAGTGTGGATCTGTGTGTGTTTCTGTAAGTATGGATCTATGTGTCTGGGACTATGGATCTGTGAGTAGAGATCAGCAGCACTCCATATGAGAAGGCACCTCTGCCAAGGGCCATCAGGTAAATTTGCATTGACACCCCTGATATAGATAATGCAGTAAAAAGAAATAATATGACCAAAATTAACTCCAAAATAAATCATTATTTTAATTATATATTATTATATTATTAATAAATTTAAATAATAGCAATACTTACCATGATCGATCCCGGGAGAGGCTCGGTTTATTGGGGCTGATTGCAGTTACAGGTTGGCCCCTATTTGAGCAGGAAGAGGCTTCAATCAGGAGCATCTCATTTTTGACTATACCCAGCCTGGGTTTCTGGGATAAGAATATTATCAGTTCCAAACATCACATATGATGAGCAGAACTGTTCTGTATACAGATAGCGGCCATACCACCATTGCTATCAGTTTATACACAGTCCAGCTCACTGTTTAATGAATTGGGCTGTGTGCACATCTAGGCAACGGAGAGAGATCCCAGTTAAAGTTGTGTGTGTGGTACGGACATCGCAGACACAGGTTGGACAAATCTGATCTTCCTCACCAGGATGTCAATCAAACAGCCAGTGGAAGGTGGAGATCATGCTCCAAATCTCAAAAGGTAAGA